CACTCTTAATACGTAAATATACACATATACATCCGCGAGGTGTAACGTTGCGAAGACATAAACAAGTGCACACATCCGTAAACTACGGTACTGTATTTATATAGAGAGAGTTGACTGGGTTCATTGCCTCTAGCAGCGGATTACAAGGCACATCGAATTCTTACTCACGAAATTCTGATACGAATACTGTTTTTAAATTAGTTTTGAATTGCACATGATATGTTTTTCTTAACCGTTTTAATTATCCATAAATGTTTGACTAGATAATCTAGACTTTGAAAATTTATTATTTTGTTATTTGTTTTTTCGTTACAAAAGCGAGTACAAGTTTGTGTGTTCGCGACGTAATACGTGTTTTGGGCATAGTTTGCATTAGACTTAGACAGCAGTTTTACGAATTTATTCAATTTATAGTTTTTATTGTTTGAAAGTAGGTACAAGAATCTTTAATCTTATTTCAAATTAAGTAACAAATCTTCCCTTATATAACAGTGGTAACAATTTATTGGGAGATGCATCAAGAAATATTGCTCTTATACGTAGAATATTTAAAAACCCTTCGTCCTGTACTTTACGTGTTTTTTCTTCAAATTTTTTCAAACAAGAAGTGTTATACGAGTACTTTCGAATTTTTTTCTGAGAATACTTAAATATTTCGTGTAAAATAAGCCTATTGATGTGTTGCAACAATTTCTCTCGTGTGAAGGCAAACCACATGAGTATTATGTCGGGATAGAAAACACCGCAATACGCTTCAATATCTTAATAACAATAAATGTATTTTTTTTTTCTTCATATCACTATCGAAAAATACACTCATGTATTTCAATTTTGATAGGAATCAACTACATACAACTTATAAATCACCGTGAATAATAATAAAACCATCATGATGAACAGTTTATTTGTATATTTAATTTCATTAGGCAGTTGTTAATTAAAACGTATATTTTTGTACGCTTCACAGAATGTAACATTCGTTAATATTTTTAGTGAAATCCGATCGTAAAAAATATCTCCGAAAATTCAAAGAACAAAACATTGCAATATTTAAACGATATACCTTGATATACTTCTATTTTAAAGACATTTTTAATGAAACAAAAATTTGCCACACTCAAAATTTCTTGTAACATAATTTATTTATATATTTAAATTTAATATTTAATTTTTGTAGCTCATAATAACACACTACTATAGGTAAAAAATTATTAATTTTAAAGTTAAAAATGTAAGGTGAATCATTTTTATATCGCATTGGAATGTAATAGCATGAAAATATTATATAATGAATGAAGTAATAAAAATTTACTCGTTAAAAGAAAAAAGTGTAAAACGATCGAATAATTATTATACGACTTGTGCAAACTAAGTACGTATAGTGAGGATTAGACTAAAATTTGACTTTTTTTTGGTGTACTACGAAAAAACTAACAGGAAGAATGAAGTTTAACGTCGATGTGATGTATTATCTTGTTTCTCCACAAATCGGTGTGTGGCATACTATAACTATGGTTACATTAAATAAAACGTATTGAAATGATGATCCAGAAAAGGTGGTAAAATAAAAAGTTAAAGAACTGACTCGAAGACAGACCTTTTAAAACGTGAAATTATCTCTCCGAATCGGATAACACATTCAGCAGTAACATGGAATTATGTCCGACCGGTTCACGTGAGAGAAAAATCAAAAAATACATCACGCCACGGAAAAAAAGGTGTACTAAATAAATAAAAAAATGAATAGTTGACGTCACTACATTTTAATTGAGCTAACTGGAATGTTAAAAAAAAGTGAAATAGTTAAGTGTAAATACATAAATTAGTTAGCACATGCGTGGTTATTCTACCAAAAAAATTACTATAGTTCCTCACTTGAATAATTTAAAAGTAATATACTATATGAAACTAACACGGTTTAACCATTATTTATGAGGGTAGCAGTGGTGTCATTTTAGTTTTTTCTAGAGTAGGACCGTCAACATGCTCTTATTATTTTGCCGACTCAAATTTAGTTTTACATTTCCTGTCATAGTAGAGTAGTAGAGGAAAGGGGTTTGTGCAAAATTAAAAACAACAAACAGTATAATAGCCTATAAATTATTAAGTTACCGACTCGATAGCTCATTTTAACAATGTGCCGATTAACATGGGGAGGACATCAAACCAGTCTAAAAATTTAATGATTTTTACTTTGCATGTATTCGTATAGTTCACGTCTCACGCCGTACATGTGTGTAGTAACACTGGTGTATTTGAATATTCGGTTGTGTCCTTGTGATTCGTTTTAAAAATTGTAAATTTTTTTTGATTTATATCATGTCAATGACTTTATAAATAACATATTTTGATGATGTGCCAATTTCACAAAACTCTAGACTGCGACTAATGCATAAGCCCCTCCCTCCTCCACCCCAAAAATGATGCCCCTGGTAGCTAGCCTTATATTTCATTCGAATATATAAGGTATAGTAAACATTTATTATTAGTAGGTAAATAAGTAAAAGACATTTTTTTGTATTCATTTAATAATTTATCACTAAATAATGGGAAATTTAATTCTAAGATTAAAAAATATATTATACTGCATTGAAACACAATGCCTACACAACTTTTTTTATTCAATGATTTTTAAATGGTTATTAAATTCGTGGTTATCTCAAACGGGTTAGGTTAGGTGGCTATATGTACGTTTAATAAAAGTTTCGAAGACCCTGCAACGGAGAATCTATTTGTGTGTATAAATATGTATGTTTTTTTTTTATTTCCTGTTCGTATTCGGTTTGTTACCAATTGATCATCAAAACGATTCTACTTAAACTACTTATCATCTGGTTATGTCATGTACGCATAAATGTTATTTCTGATTGAATTAACTGTAATTTTATTACAACCAATGTTTTACACGCAAACGTTCGCCGGGAACCATAAGTCCCGTGTAATGTCACACCGTTATGGGCACAGCTAGCGTTTTATTTTAGTGGGACAAGATATTTATTGTAATCAATGACCTGAAAGTTCACACCACCTACTGTAAAAATACGGTTTGACACACGTTTTACTTATGTCTAAAGACTTACAACACGTATACCTCGATGACGGTCGCAAATTCGTTTGAACATATCAAATGCCTGATAACATTTAAGATGCTCGTTGTTGAAATCTATCGCTTTGAAACATATATACTACGGGTAAAAATATAAACCATTATTTTATAAGGATTATGGAATAAAAACGAGGTGAATACCAATTTTAACTCGAGAAATGTATATTTTATTATAAACGAATTGTAAAGCCATTATTTTGATAATACTAATTTTATTTTTATTTTTATACTTTTATAATCCAGAATCTACGGATTATATTCGATGACTGAAACAAACCGTATTACGACTGCATACTCCAAGCCACTCGTATTAAGCCTGCGATTATGACCCTTTAAATTAAGCTGATGTAAGAACATCGAATAGTGTCGTGTACTCTCGTCTGTCAGTAATAGAAAGATTATAATTTTCCGCGTTTTCTCTGGAAATATACACATTGACTTAAGCGCTGTCTATTTTTTTCTCTTTTAATTAACGTAATAAGTTGCACATGTTTGAAATTCTAATTTATGTATTTGTGCACCAAAAATAAACACAAGGACGGTTTATTTTTTATTCCGTTATTCTGTGCTACCCGGCGACAGCCGTGCGATAAAAAATTATAATATAACGATAATGACGGTTCTCATTTCTAGACGGAGCAGGACGTGTAGAGAACGATAGGAGGTGGTGTAGGTTTAGGCCACCACCGCCGGGGACTTAATACCACGTTATATGGGTCTAATGAGACTCCGGTCGCAAAGAAAAAATAAAATAAAATGTTCGCGCGTTTTCGCCAGCCCCGTATACGCAAGTATAAAGTTTCACAGGTTTTTTTTTTTTTTGTCCCCAAGAGTTTGCTCTCTATTACGTTATTTCGTGTAAAAAAAGCAGGCGCAACATTTTACACATACGGACGTACGTTTCTACGACGTAATAATATTTCATTTTCCGACGGAAACGTACGCATGTTGTTCACTGTTGGTTCATTCATTGTTACAGGTAGATTATGGTTTTTTTTTTCTCTAACTCGCGTAAGATTTCACGGCCGGCAAATCTGTCTATTCTCATAATATGCCATTAACGTGTGTTGCGGACGAGCGAAATATAGATTGATCCACCGCGTCTTTATACAATCCAACGGTTTTACCTCGAGGCTGCTGCCGCTGATGGATTAACGCTATGGTGACAGTAACTCATAGGAACCGCAATGTCGCCGGTGACACGTAGTGTATTATAACATACCTAAATATCGTTGTACCAAACACCATTATTATGCTAATCGGGATGGTGTGGTTGAATAAACATTAACGCGCCGGATAAATGAATAAAGTTTTGCTATCGGTTCCGCCTATACGGTTGATACAAGGATGCCTATGGTGTAAGTTCGATATTTTTATGATAAATTGGGTGAGGGGAGGTGTAATTTGTCGTGATTTTACGTTCTCGGAAATAGCACGTCATCCGCAAGTTGGAACGCAAAAATATATCGTGTGATGTTTGAAAACTGGAAAATTTGTTTTTTAAAAGAAATTACCAACAACTTTTTACTGTCCGCTGCGATTATACTTGTCGATTACAAGTAGATTTACAAAAAATGGTAATAGTATCATTACTTTAGCGTCATCGATCGGTGCAAGACTAATTTTAAAATATAATTTGAATTACTCATTGTTTAACACATTCGGTAACATATCCCTTGACTTGTGTTTTTGATTCTTATTTAATTAAATAATCTAAAGTATGAGTAATTTAATATGACTTATATATTAATTCAATGTAATTGTTTTTTTTTTTTTTTTTTTTTTTTTTTTTGGGGGGGGGGGCAATTAAAATATTTGACTCTGGACGACTTTTATCCGAACACTGCACTGGCGGGTAGTACAGTGTTGTCGAAACGTCGTTGATCGTACTCACGTATAACTGTCAGGTTGACTTTGGAGTTGCGGGTGGGCGACTTCTTAAAATCCACGCGGCATTTATAAACGGCCGCGTCCCTGTCGCCGATGTTCTGCAGCACCAACACGGCCGGATCCGAGGACACGCGAAACAGCGCACGGCCCTCCAGCGTCTTTTCGTCGGACCAATGAGCTCCGGTCCCGGTCTTCTGTCCGTCCTGTGTTTTGCCCGTGACTCCGCTGCGCCTGGCATCGTAGCTGAAAAACGCAAACGTCGTCGGATCATTAGGGTCACACGGTGTAAAAAATACATACATAATTATTAGCATTATTACATTATTATTACATTATTAGCAGACTAAGGGAGATGAATGTTTATCGGCAATGCGCACCGTCCTGAATATTGGTTTAGTACGGGAATAAATGGTGGTATGAATAAAAGATAGTGTGATTAAAAATTAGTGATTTTGAAGTTAAGTTCACTGAGCAGTTCAGGAGAGTCATTAAAGTCATCAATGAATTTTTGTACAAATATCTAGTCAGCTGCACACGCCTGTCAGTTAGGTTTGATGGTTCTAGTAAGGATAGTACGTAATGGTTCATAATCATGGGGTCTATGATCAGTATGAAGCAACATAGCTTAAAAATGTACGTTGTATCCTTTAAATCTATTTCATAACTGTAACTGTATTAGGGTCCCAAATAAAAATACCATATACTAGAATTGGTCTTACAAGATCACAGTATAATGCTTTAAAGTGCGTTAGCAATTAGAAATCAGTGGAAATTCTTATTATGAAACTAAGTGTTTTTAGAGCTTTGCAACATGATTTTTTCAATATGTTCATGAAAAATAAGCACCTGATTTGATATAACACCAGATCATCGACAGCTTTTCCTGAATTAACGAGAGGTAAATTATACAAAGTGTAATTAAATACGATTGGATTACGGATTCAGTAAAAGACACTTGAATATATTAAAATCTAGGTCAATGTTAATAATCCAAGCACTTAGTGAATCAAGATCACTCTGTAATTGATGGGTATCGTTTTCTAATCACCATAGTTTTTATACCATGTCACGTAGCGGCCATGTTATCACAGTTGACCACCATTTATTTATTATCATTATAAATTGTGTTTTAACACATTTTATTAAAACTATTTTGACACGCTGTAAATACACTTATAAACCCGGTGATTTGGTGGGGATGGGGGTGAAGGGTTAAATCTCAAATCCCCTTTTATCTAACCTACTCGTAAAAAGCATTAAGCCCCTCGAATTGAACAATCCTGGCTGCGCCGCAGCCAAAACTATTAAGTCCTTCACCGCGGTGGAGTCACAAACCGAGATGGCCATCACTGTATGCCAATGTTGTTAAAGATCTGTTAACATTTCAATCGTTTCAGAAGTGATGTTACACGTTCCAGAAATAGCATCACGGAAGTGAAACACATAAATAACTAGTAGTTCGTGTGAGCACGGCACATTCTGCGTAAAAATTATTTGATTATTACTATTTCTGACTATTGTTTTTTATCTATATTTTTTAACGAACTTGATATGGTTAAAAGTGCAACAGGAAAACGCAGCGATTCAAATCAGGTTCGGGCTCTGGATCGCAGTATGCTCATAAAAATTTTAATTTCTACATTTGTCTGTCGTGGTTAGGAGGACCGTGACGGACGGCGTTCGTTTCGTTCGCAATGTTTTATGTGAATAAAATTTTAATTTTGAATTTATAAAGTGCTTTCAAAAATAATAATAGAAATAAAGATGACGGAAATAAATTGAAAACTACAATAATATTAGAAATTGAATATTGATTGCATAACATTTTAACATTTTAACGGATAAAAATGTATGCACATAAAGATTATTACGTTGGTGTAACTATGTTATAAATAACTTAGTTATTATATAAATATGTATAAATAATGTTATAAATAAAATAATATATTTTTCAATCTTTGAATTTTGTTTTATAACGTGGGCGACTATCGAGTGCTACCAGAAAATTACGATCAGAGAAGGGTCAGGGTGAGCTTTAGTGGCTATTATTGATGGTTCTGTTTTTCGTTGACCACTTATAAGAAACACAATTTGAAAAAAAAAATTATCGATCAAGGTACCGTTGAAGTTGCCAACAAAAATTTATTCGGTAACCAAATATCAGACGTTTTTTTCGCCTACGGTATTTTTTTTGTAGATTAAATGAAATTTAAACAAACATCTATTCTTCTTACAGTTGGTCGTTACGGAAAGCCAAAACGACAATGTACTTACTCGCTGTTGGTTATTTATTAATTATTGAACCCTATTAATATTTTTTATATCTTCCAAGGTTTCATATTAATATACTTAGTATATACAAGTATTGTACGCATAACATAAAATACACATGTATTAATTATTTCTATAACGTTATACACCAACTCGATATCTTTCAACGTTTTTGTCAACAAAAAGCACATAATAATATTTTAATAATATATTTTATTCTTATTTCTTCCTCTGCGCGTACTCCATTATTATACGATATTAACCACGTTATTACCCGCCGGTTAACGTTGTTATTACTTTTCCCGGACCCCAGCGGTGCCACAGATCGATAATTTAATATATTTTGCACTTGCACAGCACGTTATTTATTCAAGTGCAAATTGTTTTCTATTTAAAGATTCGAATTAACAAATTTTTATGCGCGAAATCGTATACTTATATAGTTCAACGTTGTTCGGTAGGGAAATATTTTTACTAATTATTACTGTTTCGTATTTCGGTGGATTTTTTTTCGATTTCTTCTAAAGCGTTGGTTGAAATCAGCATCCGGTGAGATATGATAAAAATTAAAACATTGATAATACCGATTACAATAATCATTATATTATTATCTTAGCGCACTGCCTAATGAATTTAGAATGATTCATTGATGAATAATTCACAGAACAATTAGGTCATCGTCGTTGATTCACCGCACTGTTTATTGTCATACATAGTGCATACCGCAACACAGTATTGTGTTCGCTGATTTATTCATACGAATTATCTATGCGATTCGACAATAGCGAAAACGGAGACGGCGAAACAACGGGGACGAGGATGAACTACTACACCGCAAAAGATTGATTACGATATTCTCTCGTAGATACCTATTCGTCCGGAAATTTTTACCCGGTCGACGATAAACATAACCATTATTATTATTATGATTATTGTTATAATTATTATTCGGCGGTGACGTTTTCATTCCGTGACAGTGTGTTATGAGCTGCAGTGCGTTGGGTGTTTTACAGCCGCGCATTCGTAAATAATTGGGCCGCGATTTACGCTCGTGTTGTGACGGCAGTCCTCTCCCACGAACAATACTGTTGATCCGAGCCTGCTCGAGTTTCAGAACAAATATCGTCATCGATAGTGATGGACAACGATATCAATAATTCGATACGATATCGATATCGTGACACATTTTCGACACCGATATCGTTCTATAGTTGTACGATATATCGCAATATCAAATTTAATTATTTTTCTAGAAATACATTTTATTTTTAGATTCTAAACTTCAGTAAATTTTATTGTGTGTACTGTGTAATAAAACATTAACCAATAACTAATAAGTAATAATATTTGTCTAATAATATAACTGATAAAGTATGGACACGTATCCTCGGGAAATGTGAATTATTATATTATTTATATTTAATTTTACATTTCTACATTATTATTACATTTGTTATAGCTTATAATGTTATTTGTATCGATAAGCATTATGAACTAGATACAATTTTACGATTTTGGTGTACTAATAATAAATATCGTATACTAAATTTTAGTATATTATTTTACTAAATTTATAAAAATATAATTCGATACAATATCGATATCGAACAAATTCCGATACCGCAATACAATATCGAGAAAATCGGAACGATATCGATACACAATATTATATCGTTGCTCAACACTAGTCATCGGCGTACTTGCCGATGGTCCCGATTTCGCGGCGGCTGAAGTAGCGAACGGCCGTTAAAAAATGATGAAAACGATGGTGGTTTATAGGAGACACGTGTTTACGAAAATTTCAAAACGGTTTCCTCTGAAAATGAAATGCCACAAAGGTTTTTACCTTCAACATTTACCGACAATCGTTATTTGTGTTAATTAACACGAAAATATGTGTATTAAAAAAAAAGAAAAAAAACATCAACGGAATTTAGGTTTCTGGCGATTCACCGGGGTGGGTATTTATTTTATTTATTATGAAAGCTGAGTTGAATCATTGAAACCCAGAGAGGAATCAGAGTGCGGTACGAAAAAAAAAATAAAAAATATAACTTTAACTGTATATACTTTTATGAGTTAATTGAATAAATTAGAAAAAAGATCTGAAAAGGGATCAGAAAAGTAGCCTCACACATTACCATTTAAATTTAACTCCAAAATTGGTAAGTTCATTCAAGTAACGTGGTAAATATTAAGAAAATATTTCTATCGATTAATTATCAATTAATTATGTTGCGCTTAGGTATAACCTCTAATATATTTGCTCGTGTAACCAATATAAAGTACTAAGTTACAATAGTTGTATTTTACTATTGCATTGTCGTTTTATTTTTTCGACGAAAACTAAATAAAAAATAAAATAATCTTTAACGATCTATTCGAGAGTCTCGACGTGAATGGGCTATCTATTTCGACAGTTTATCGGTAATAGAAAAATAAATATATACGACAAAAGAAGTGTCGCCGAACACGTATTCCAGCTAGTTCAATTGAACTGCCAAGAAAATCGGAATGTTAACAAAAAATAAAATTGATCGTTAAAAAATTTAAATTCATTTTTTTATATATTACTTGACAATTATTTTCTATTAACAGTATATTTAATAATTAAATATTATGCAACAGTTTTAATTATTAAAGATGTTTATAAAAAAAAAAAAATGTTTTGGTATTTGACTGGATGGTAAACTAGAAAGGATGGGTGGGTAAATCCAGCGGGTAAAAGTATACAGTGCACTGGGGCGCCGCTAACCATGCCGTTTGAATGAAATCGTATAATAATGCGCGCGTTCAATATTATCGGTAAGTCTCGCGAGAAAACTTTTAGTACGCGTACACGTGCGCGCTTGTGTAGAAAACAACTTGGACGATGACCGCAAATCCATAAACAATCATCTATTATTGTGTATAAATATTATCGTTATGTTGTACGCACGTGTTGGTCGCATTTGATGTATAAAATATTATAACACACGTCGTATTGTTCGGCATCCGGCCCGGCCAAAACGGGACCAAAGGGTCTTGTACGTCGAATCGGTGGGAAACGATTTTTATTATGATTATTATTATTATGTTTTCGTCTCTCTCTTTCTCTCTCTCTCTCTGCGGTCGTATACACATGCTCACGCGTGTTTTACGCACAAACTCGACCCTCGGAAACAGGAGTGCTGCGCACAGTTGAATTACCACCGTTGGGCCTCGTTTTACCGCGTGCACACCGCGTGTTATTACGTTTACATTGTAAATCGACGATGGATAGCATAGAGTACGCAACGCGTGCACATATATATTGTTCACTACGATAATGCCGTTTCCGGCTTGCGAATTTCTGACAACTGCGCGGCTTGTGCGGTTCCGGCCGGCGAAACGACGTTGCGCGAAAATCTATCGTACGACGAGTCCGAAGCGGTAGCACACCCGCCGATTCGTCGCGCCCTCACCTAACCTAATTCGACCTGTGCCTGCAGTTTCTATCGCTGATCCACGCCAAGAGTATGTGTCATCGAGTGTTGGCGAATTTCTGTATGATATGCACAAGCGCAATTAGGCGGAGGAGACGGGAGCTCCCCGAATAGTTATCTGTCCTCCACAAAACAGGTACAGATACAAATTTAAAAGGGTGCATGTAAATTCCGCAGAAAAAAAAAATCAGGTAAAGAATATAAATTCCGCCCGAAAAAAATTGATAGTTAATAAACACATTCTACGTATAATTTATAAGTTTACTTTAAAAAATTTAAAATTGTCTAATACTAAATGTATATTTTCACATTCTGATTCAATAAATTGAGCCATTATAGCATATAAGACTCTAGGACGTGTACTGAACACATATTATAATATTTCTATCTGATACTACCGATTATAAGATCTACAATATGTGGCAAAACTGATAAGATATGACATGATTGACCGTTAACAAATCCATTTTTGAATCTTTTTTGGGCGGAATTTACGTGTTTCTTTTTATTTGGATTTTTTCCCCGGCAGAATTTACCATGAACCTTGTTCTTACCTATTCATTTCGAGCGTAAGTTATAATACCCCATTTAAAAGTAAAAGTCATTTATTTAAGTAGTAAAAAAAAAAAAAAAAAAATACTCTAGTTCACCTATGGTGATCCAGTAATATTCCACGTGATCGGAACGAGGAAATACAGATATTTCTGAGATGGCTTACTCGATCTCCTTTTAGCAAAGTATTGAATTCGTGCAATTACAGTTGTTCATTTTTATTCATGAACGATTCCTACCCGTGGTAATTCCGAGGTCCACAGGGTTTGTACTCGCGTCCCCCGAGAGTGTATCGGATGTCGAATCAATAATATTTTTCGGCTATCGAACCGTGTACCGTAATTATTAAAACCTAATAAATTATTATAAGTTAAAGTTATACGCGTGTTTTGCACGTAAAAGGTTCTTTTTTTAATTTTTTTTTTAAAAATTGAAAATCTATTAAAAACTTACAACTTATTTTTGTTCAACATAACCTATATACTCATAAGATAACTAAGTTATTTCTTATCGTATTGTATACATTTTCAAACTCGGAGTACTACGACTGAAGTTTCGGATGTTTGCTCATTCAGAAAAATTGATCAAGTCACGTCATTGATAATGAAAGAGAAAAAATTATTACACATAAATATTGCATTATAATACTGAGACTTATGAGTAACATCAAGCAAAGTGTACATGCACGTTCGCTGATACTTTCCACGTCATTGCAGTTTAGACGCCCGTGACACCGACGCTTGTTAAAAACTTGAAATAATTTATTACGACTTGTATACGCGGAAAGTCTGGAGTCAGATGGATGCGAGTATATGACCGCGTGTGTGCGTGTACGTGTACGTGTGTGCGAGTTTACTTACTGCAATTGTACAAAGCAAATTCTCCTAGACGTTAATTTTACCGCCGCCGTCACGTTCTCGGTTTAAACGAATAAGCGTTGCAGGACGGCGGAATTCTGTGTGCCAACGAATAAAACAAAAACGTACACACATATTTATGGTCGCTACTAGCCGAGTTGACAGCGCGCCGCTGTTGCACAGCTCCAAAACGCGGATGACAGTTCACGCAGTTGGCCAAATAAACAACATCGTCGACTGTATGATATTATATACACATTCAAAAGAAAACGAATGCTTTTCGTCCAATGAGGGCATGATGTCATAAAAAGTTAGAAACAAGCAAACTATAAATTTGGCAAGCAAACAGTCAGTTTTAAGACACTTGCCGTGAAAAATAAAAAATAATAAATAAATAAATAAAACTTATGTAAAAAAAAAAGAAAAATAAATAAATGCGAGTGCCGAGTACTCGTTGCTCGCCTGAATTTACGGAGCTCAAACTTTTATTGTGTACATAGTCAAAATGTACGACGTCAATATGTCCATTAAGAATAAAACTTTGTCGAAGATTTTATAATATTTTCTTCAAACTCGGAATAAAACCTTAGTATCATTTTTCGTCTGAAAAAGTTCACAAGATGTATTCGGATATTTAATCGTTTTACGATATGGCTTTAAATAACGTACATTAATTTCGCGACCTATTCTCGAAATTATAATTAAAGAAAGATTTAACGTGTACAAAATGCTATATCAAAAAATCGTCTACGCTATACTGTTAAAATTAAATTATCGAATAAATATAAATCGTTTGTTATTACCTGTAAATCGGAGTGGTCTGTCCCTGTTTAACCCAAATAACCAACGTAACGCGATCGTTAGGTGTTGGTGGGGTCATGTTGCACGGCAAATACGCCACCGTGCCCGCCACTGATTCAACGTTGGTGGTTATCACTGAAAAATAAAAATAAACAATTATTTTTTATTCAACGTGGTCGATAAGCTTAAAATCACATAACATTTTATTATACGTCGAAATCGCGATGGAGCGAAATATAGTGTTCGTTATCGAACGAAACTGAAAAATGTTGTTTTTTAAAACATGATAATCGTATCACAGACAATATAGTTGTACTGCTACGTATTTTTTGCGGCCCCATCAAATTCTTCTAGAGATTTGATTGACGAACGTATAGATCATCTTAACTTATAATCCAGATACGAAGAACACAGAATACCTACATGGAAGCTATATCGCCACGCTAATTATGTTTTCAGCTTTATGTACCGAACTCGTAGACATTATATGTTGCCGAGTGTCGAGTATTTAGGTTTGTCGATGTTTCTCTGGATAGCGGTTATGATATGAATTAAATTATAAGTATGAAAATATTTAAGTGTACTACAGAAGTACGCGCACACAAGGACGTTCGATCGCATTGCCTGAAATACCAATAATTATTCAAAACAAGTACAAATACAAAACATATACCTAGTGGTCGGCTCAACAAATAGAAATTATTTATTTCATCAACTATACAGGACGACCACGTGTATTTCACCCGAGTGAATTTTGGTATTGGCGATTTATAGTACTTAATGATATTATGTTTTGACTATACTTAAGATGTTGGACGAACATAAATTATAATTCAAAGCTCCGTTAAGGCGCGTATACAAAAGAACATTTTGAAGAGATTTTAGGTAAAATATTTTCGTACTAATATAATCTATAAACCACTTTTACTCTATCAAAACGTATTCAATAATTTTCTTAAATTAAAGGTGGGGAGGGGTGTTGAATCACTAATCCTCCCCCTTGGTATACGCGCCAAGCTACGTTAATCGAGTAGAGCGCGTACAATTTTTTCTTAATCGTTATCTCGCCGCGATACGATGTTCAAACAATGACCGTTATCTTCGGCGGTACATGATTTATAACGTGCGACGACTCCGCGTTCGCGGCACGGTCAGACGTTCCACTCCTTGAAATACGATGATAATGACATAGTGTTATTAATTTTGCCAAGACGGGTTTGATCATTTTCGTGGTTGAGTGCACTTTATGGTAGCCAAACACTACCGCCGTCGGGCGATAACGTGATTAGCATGGTTGATTAATATTGCACGACGGAAAACGATGGGTCGACCGTAGTAGTTATTTTGTGTCTTTTTTTCGGCTTCCGATGGAAGGTAATATAATGCCCGAAACGTCGGCGTCCATCAATTGCGTATTACATTGTGTCTCCCACCATCTTGGTCCATCCCGACGACTACATTAAAATTGCAAAATAGTCGACTACCGTCATGAAATGTTTCCCGGAACATGATATTCAAGTATAATAAATCCAAAGAGCGACTTTCATTGATATTATTGTTATTTTTTTATTTTTATTTTTTCTTCTTCCGAAAAACCGAACTAAAAGTGCGAATAGAAGTCGTCTTGGAGTAGTATTTTTTTTTTTTTTTTTACGGGTTTCGTATTATAATTTTTCCTGATTTTAAAGCAACATTTTCAAACATAACATCATGTAGTCGAACGAGTAGCTCACGTAAGAAGAATCGCGTAATGCGTCTTGGAGGCAAACGAATTTAAGTGAAGTATCTCACTTGGAAAACTGATGGACGCTATTGACCTGTATACATGTACCTCTCACACTGGGTCGACATCAACCAAACGACAAATGTTTTCGTTTGATGTTCATCAAAATTTTTTCGATCGGAATGTGTGAATCGAACCATGTATTACCGGTGTACCAGACAAATTTAACTCACCTAGTCATATTTACCGACGACCACACAGACCGCTATTGTCTTTACATTTATTATCATTGAATTCTTACTGCATATACAGCTCACTTCAATATAATAATAGTTTTTAATATATATTAATTCTAAGTAAGTTAATTCAATACTAAAATTTTTGTTTATATTTATTTTTTTTTTAAATCACAGCAATTTTTATTTTGTAATCGTATACTTATATAATATATTAGTAATAAAATCTGTTTATATTTCTATCAGTAATTATAAACATTTCCTAAAAATATTGTTACTCATATAATGGGTGATTATCAAGGCCATCGAGAGGGGGAAGGCATTAAGTGTGTTTTGCCCCAGGCCCCAAACTTTTGGAGGCCACAATATCCATTGCTTTTTTTTGTCGACTGGGGTAGGGTAAGCTAAGTTTCAAGTTATACATTGTTATTAATATTTAACAAATAATTAAGTTATACAAATTAGTCACAAATAGTTTTTTTTTTTTTTTTTGTTTGCGTAATAGTGTTTGCACAAAAAGTACTTATAAATTATAATTAATGATAATCCCTAGAAATGCGGCACGCAAAGACTAAAATATATATTTAATCAAAAATAATAATTGTTGATTATTAGTGCGACAGTGCCGAGGCAGCATCGTCGTAAACCGGCTGTGATAACCAAAAATTTAAACCAGAGGTCGGCAACTGGCGGACCGCAGTCCGGATCCGGACCGTGGAAGACAATACTCTAGACCCTGTCAAATTTTATTTTCATACTTCTAATAATATAATTTTTAATATAAATTTATTGTAAAAATCAAATAATTATTTTTATTTTTTATATTTATATTTTGAATATATAAAGATTTGAAAAGATTGTTTTCACTGGATCACTTTGATTTATTAATTTAATTTTTAGGACACCAATTTAAATTACTTTCCGGCCTCTGATTTAAACAATAACATCAAACATGCTATTTCTCCCGTAACAATATTAAATATTAAATTTGAATATTGACTGTTGTTGTTGTTTCACTTTTTGACTGAAGACTAAGTAAAAAGAACCGTATAATTCATAACAAATAAATAATAATTCATACTAAACACTGTTTCTACCTAAAGTACTTGTACAGTTGTACATTTTGTGGTTGTACCTATTTAAAAAAAATAAGAGGCAAGAGTTACTAGATACAATGAAAAAAACTATATTAAATTATACATTTATATTTGAAGCCATTTTTCCAACAAATTACGTAAAATCTCTGAATTTTAATTACGTGTATTCTAAATGCGCAGTTTAAATAATATCTATGAATTCCTAATATTTTATTTAAACCAATATAATTTTATTATACCGGTATCGTGTGACTTCTGAAACCTGCTATGCAAATTACGCGCTAATTGATGGCAAAACAAATGTCTTTATTTTTTCATAGGGAAGGCCAGCACAATGCACGTTTTATACCCATATTAGATATGGATGATGAGAGATAAACTGAAACAAGATAAAAAATCAAAATTAAAATAAGTGATAAAAAACTCTTAAATACTCATTGCTTTAATAAACAAAAACGTATATATACATCATTTTCTTCTCGTTTTTTGGATTTCCTAAACATCAACTCCCACCAAAAGCGTCTCTCTGCGCATTCTACGGTCTATCTGGTGTAGGGTAAGAAAAGGACGATCGCTCAACGTATCCGATGGATGAGCATTTTCTACTTACGCCCCCAAAGTTCCGTCATCAGCCCATAGTGGTTCTTTTTCAGCAACACACACTCGGTCGTCGTTGCGCAATAGGCGTCGTAGTACTGTTTGATAAATAGACCGGCCTTTCCAATAGAGCCCGTCATCTGTGCACAGGACGCGGGTAAAAGTTATTCTTGTCCGAGACGTCTTTCACTGCGTTTCCTTTTTTCCTTTCGTTCTCGTTATTTTTCGTGCTTCGTTGCAGATCCGCCTACTCCGCCCGAAAAGTGTATTCATTTTTACTCCTTACATTCATGTATACAAATTGAACTACACGTTCACGTACAATTTTACACATTTGTGTGTGTGCATGCGTGTGGGTAAACCCAAATTCAAAAAACTATCGATGACTGAGCGATACACGAAGCGCCGGCACAAGTTGATATTCCCGATTCTCTCGCTCACACGGTCAAATACGACAATCTTTTATCATATTTACAACGTTAAATTCCAATTTTACATCGTTTGACTTTGCAAAACGTCGTACTCCACGGATTTTGGAAATAAAATGTGCATGCTATGGTTTTTTGAAAAAACTCGATGGATTATGACTGTTGATAATTATGCGTATTCAAATGCGAAAAATCGTTTGATTTTTTTTTTTTTTTTTAATTTTTCTTGGAACGTTGATATTCGTTATCACATCGCGTCCATGACAACACGTTGCGCGGCCAGGTTAGTTTCGGTTTTCGTTTTCCGGCCACTAGGCATTACAATATCCGAAAACTCGGCCGTCGCGCATGACTAATAAATCGCCCAGTGCCCGATACACGGACACACGACTGGCTTGCAGAATTCACTGCTATTGCGACCGGGTGGTAAGCGCGTATAATGTCGAAGAGGCGATAAAAACCGAACATGAAAACCGCGGTACATATTGTCGAGTCGCATGTAGCCGGTGCACAATAACATACAGCTTTACGAGCGCCGTCATCGTTTTATTGCGGACCGCCGTCGAAATCGCGAACGTTCGGATTTTTAATAAACCGTTTTTCGACTCGGTTCGACATGTCCGTTCTTTCCTACTCAGCGCCCACCTACCGACTGCCTTATCTCACTCTCCCTCTATCAATCTTTCTCTGTTACTCTTGCCGAAACAATAACGCGCGAACGGATATTCCTCCGGCCGGCTCAACTGATCGCTCTGTATATATATATATATAATGTATAATGTGCGTTTTATTGCTCCTTTCCGACATAATCTTACCCCTACGTATATTCGTCGTTATCCACATACATATACGTACAAAACACATCATAAATGCGTTACGCAAAACAGGAGTCGTTCCCGCAGACTCCCTTTCTACGTTCCGCTCGCGCGCCAGTAAATTTACCACCACCGATTGGCGTCGTAAATTTCCATCGCGCAACATTCAATATTTTCGCGTCGTTATGTTATAACTTTATTACCGTCGGCAACGTTCTCGTATTGATTTTAAAATATTA